CCGGTATCCACAGATACTTGAATGGAATGATTGTTGAGTTAATCATTCCGTAGTCACGCGGATCCCATGTTAAATACTCGTCTTTCCATTTTTGGATCATCCACACATTCAGCTTAATGTTTTGAGAAGGTTCATCCTGAAAGTGACCTCGAGATTTATAATACATCAAAGTTATAGAGATAATTTCAGAAAACGGACATGAAAAACATATCAGTGGTTGTAAAGAAAGTAATAGTTCTTCCGATATCTTAGAAAAATTAGAAAAAATGTTGACAGGATAGAATACCCGCTACATTTTTTTAGCAACTCTAAATATTAGAGCTCAGGCTAATTCTACATCATTTTGTTGTGATAGCGCATGTTTCTACATGGATTAATTAATTAATTATTTTTGTTTACTTGTTTATTTCACCCAATTGTTTGATTTATTAATTTTCATTTTTATTTGATTTCAACAATAAGAAAGAGGTGAAGCAAAGAAAGTGAATCATTATGAGATATGTCGTAATGTTTTCTATTAGCTTAATTAATAAATTTAGAACCTTTAATGCAGATACATACTCACCACTTCAATGATCTGATATAGTGAGATACTGATATGAACCTTTAGCGTCTTTGTATGGTCAATGATAGGTCGGACACGGACATCGTACCTGAATCAGCACCTTTTTTTGAGTCATATTTCCTTATAATTTCTAAGAAATAATTTTTCATTTCCGCTAAAAGAAAGATAGTGTGGCCCTAAAGAGCAATTCTTAAATGAGAGCATTGGCTTTTGAATCTGCACATTGTAAGATTGAACTGAACATAGATGTAAGGGCTACCTTAGAACCCTTAAGAATTCAGCCAATCAAAAACTTTTTCTCGTAGAAAATCTATTGTTATTATAGAACCTATTTCGTGATTGCATAAAGAATTCAATAATTAAAACAAATTACCTATCTTTTGCAAGTAAATCCCTGGTAAGCCGGATAAGAGGAATATCTTCCATCAACAGTGATCGATTAGCAATTGAATTTGTAGAGATGTGATTGGGAACGGGGTTAGGGTTTGAGTTGGAATTGTTCGTGAGAATTGATGTCACTGCAAAGATTGTATAGCTTTCATATATTGAACATCATCTACAATCTTCTATCCGGGAGTTCAAGCTTCTTTAAAAAGTCACTTGCCTAAATCTGCTTCTGAATCTGCAGCTACGCTTAAGGCGAAAGTGACGGCAAGGAATGGGAGAAGCATTGAAGCTCGGCGCTTCTGGCTTATGAAGAATTAACAAAATTTAAATGAATCTCCTAAAATGTTGTTGAATAGGCTTGATAAGGTATAATCACGGCATAGCACCTAGGCAAGACACAAATGTCATTTTAGGATATCATTTATTAACACAATGGCGCGTACGCAAATCGAAGTCTCGATGAATAACCTATGAGCTGCGCAGAGTCAAGGAGAAAATGGAGAATTTTGGAGAGAAGTTCAATCATTCGCCGTGACGGAAAAGAGTTTTTGCATATTGAAAGGGTTCACCGAGGATGTGAAGAACAAATTGCACAAAAGAGTAAATGTGGGATAAGCTTGAGACACTTATTATTAGACAAAAGCTAGATCAAAAAATCAATAAGGAACAAATAATTGCACACCTAGGATATGGCAAAGATAACTGTGAGAAGTAGGCAAAAAGTTTGGAAATCTGGAATTTATTCTTTAACTGTAATGCAGAAATATCCACAATATTATTATTGAGATATTGCTATGTACATCACTACCGAATAACAAAAAAACATGATTAAGGAACAAAACACATTTTTTTGGTTAAGTGCCAGGAGATTTAATCGTCGTGATACTTGACACCAGCCGTATACCAGTGTAGGAAACCGATGAAATTGATTCCTACCGTAATGAAGAGAAAACAGATCACGAAAATTACGAAACAACTGCGCTCGGTGACCGTAGCCAGCCACTCGAATTCAGCGATTGCCAGTTGACGATTGTGTTTGAGCGATGCTACAAAGATACGAGATGAGAAAACGTACTTCTAAGTTCTTGGATGTAATCAAACTTCGAAAGTTGAAGGAAGCAGGTTTTTGAAAAAAGTTTCTGCCGTTGGCAATTATACTTTTTGAAGGTGTTACCGTATTTTTACCAATGAGATTGCATGAATATGCGGCAATTTGTCCCAAGCAGATTACGGGTTGAGAGGAAAAGGAGAAAGAATACTAGAACTAGCTTCGAAAGATCAAGGTGGTTTTCGCATAAAGATGCTTTTAGTCTCCTTTCCAGAGATTTCAACCTATCCTACATGTGAGAAGCACAAGTTAAATTTTGCTTTAACTTAGATTCTACGAGCATTTCAGATGGATGCATTCCAGTTACAAAATTTTGGCAGTACAGGTACTATGCCTTTTGTAAAAGTAAATGATAATACTTTTGAATGGAGTTAAAAGAACTGTTTCTCAACTGCCCTACATGTGTTAAAAATCTTTACGAAATCCCGAAACGTTAGTTTACTTTCCCCATAAAATTCAAACATGAAGATTTGTGGTTATACACCAAAGTTAGTGGATAGGATTAAAAAGGCAAAGACAACCATGTTATAAAGCACATTCTTTCCTTTGAGCATATATACATAACTTAGATATTGTATCACATTATCTCCTGCAAATCCATGCTTTTTGAGTTTTTCTCCTTATGATCAAATGATGTCTACACAAACGGATTCATCCACAAACTTATGCAGTAAATTGCGCATTATACGGCGAAATGACAGATTTGAAAACAATTTGAAGACTCCCTAAAGGTTGTTCTTCATAATTGCTAATATAGCCGCAGGCACATGTGCATGCTTACCGCAAAAATACATGGCACTCTAACATAGGTTCCATGTAAATTTTTGCGGTAAGGATAAAATTGGGCATTTTCTCTGTTATTGCTTAAAATCCTTACAAATATAAAAATAGTTCAAAAATTAGAGTTGATTGATCAACTATCTAACTTGCGTAAA